GTTTGTTTAGTTTTAGCACTGATGCTATGACGCTAATGTAGCTAACAAGCTTGTTGACTACCAATTAGCATGGCGCTAACTGCATAATTCATCATAAACGTCCTGTGTGGAGTTGTTAAGTAATATCAAGTAACAAAAGTACAGACAAAATTCAGGCGTCTGGGTGGCTGCTACTGTTTGTAGCTATGCTAATGAACTTCAGTCCAGGGGCCGTATTACAGAAAATTCTTTAGTCTGAGATCATATCTTATCTGCTTTGTTGTCATGGCAACTTCAGTTAAGACTGAATTTAGGACAGAAGCCATTACAGAACAACAGTTCTTCAGGCTATAATCTTATTTCCAGATAAAACAGTTTTACAGAAACATCCTAAGTTGCCAAAATATCCTAAATATTTTCTTAACTTTAAGCCCCCATGGACCCTCACAGAGCAGGTACTATTTGGGTGGTGGATCATTCTCAGCACTGCAGTAACACTGACGTGGTGGTGGTGTGTTAGTGTGTGTTGCACTGGTGTGAGTAGATCAGACACAGCAGTGCTGCTGGAGTTTTTAAACACCTCAGTGTCACTGCTGGACTGAGAATAGTCCACCAACCAAAAATATCCAGCCAACAGCGTCCTGTGGGCAGCGTCCTGTGACCACTGATGAAGGACTAGAGGATGACCAACACAGACTGTGCAGCAGCAGATGAGCTATCGTCTCTGACTTTACATCTACAAGGTGGACTGACAGGGTAGGAGTGTCTAATAGAGTGGACAGTGAGTGGACACAGTGTTTAAAAACTCCAGCAGCACTGCTGTGTCTGATCCACTCAGACCAGCGCAACACACACTAACACACCACCACCACGTCAGTGTTACTGCAGTGCTGAGAATGACCCACCAGCCAAATAGTACCTGCTCTGTGAGGGTCCATGGGGGTCCTGACCACTGAAGAACAGGGTAAAAGGGGGCTAACAAAGTATCAGAGAAACAGATGGACTACAGTCTGTAACTGTAGAACTACAAAGCGCACCTATATAGTAAGTGGAGCTGATAAAATGGACATACTGGTGGTCATAATGTTATGCCTGATTGGTGTATTTCTCACCAAATCTTGGCAGACGCCTCTCTGGACCATCACCAGGCATCTCAACCGTGATTCATCAGTCCACACGACTGTGCTGAACCTCTCTGAGTCAAACTTTCCATATTCTGCCAAAAACCTCATTCTGTCCTTGCTGTTTGTCTCAGACAGCAGTGGATTTTTAACACATCTTCTAGATCCAAAACCTGCGTTAGACGACCTTCTGGTGGTTTTCTGAGGTCTTGGATTCTGCTGACGGTTCTTGAAGACTGTAAATTTCAGCAGGTGGTCGTCTCTGTTTAAAGAGGCTTTAGGCCTTCCAGACCCATATGGAAAAAAAATATACAGACATATTTTATATATTTGAAATACGTCAAATACATTACAGTTCATGCTGAAATACATTCCAAATGCTAAAATGTACTTCAGAATATATATAGAATATATTAACCAAATATATTTGAAAATACATTTATTTTAAACTGTGTGGGGAAATATTCCACGAAATGAATTTGTGTTCCAGTATCTTCATTTTAAACATGATCAAATGATGCTTTAACAGGACAGAAGTGAGTGTTGTGGGTATTGATACTCTGTGAAAATGCAGTTATGATCTGATATCTTGTTTATGTGAAATACATTGTGTGTGAGAGTCTGACTGCAGACGTACATGGTTAATGTAAAGTACAGTGCAGATCACAGAAGTCAGTACGTTTAGTTGCATCTGTAACCTTCATTACACACAACTGAACACAGATAATCACTAATACAGATAAATGCATTTTCAAAAATATATTTAATAAATAGATTTCTTGGCCATTTTCATCTATTGCAAAAATATATTTGAATTATTTATTTGAAAATATTTATTTTTTTCCATATAGGGATACTTCCTTTCTGATATCACCTGTTGTTTCAAAGCGTTGACCTGTGAAATACGGACTTGCTGTGCCTTTAGGATCTTGTGAATTTCAGATTAGCTGCAGTTGGCCTGGCGGAAACCAGCTATGTGGTTTCGGACAGCAGCCCCTGTATGATTATTTACCTTTTTTGGAGCAGATTTTTACCTCGGGACTCAAAAGTGCGTATTATTGATCTCTACATTCTTAAAAAAGATGGCTCTTCAAGCGTTCTTTAGTAAAGAAAACGGTTCTATAGAGAACCATGAACACTGAAACCCTTTGCATAATTAATGCGTTCATAGCACCGTGAAATGGTTCTTCACATTGATGGAGAATGTGCTGTAGATGGTTTTATATAGAAGAACCCTTATTGATGCTCTACAGAACCCTTTTCAAAAAGCACATCGCATTCTCCATCCGGCTGCCATCACGGTGCAAAGAACCCTTTAATCAAAGAACCCTTGAAGAACCTCCTTTTTTAAGGGTGTACCTGTAGATTTCTGTCACCCCTGGTTCTGTTTAGCTTGATTTTAGGCTTGTGATGTTTTGCATCAGGCGTGGCAGATTACGAAACAGCGACTAATTGTTTAAGAAAACAAGTCAGAAGATATTTTGTAAATATTTTCACACCCAGACATGTTCGTTTGAGTTTTAAACCAAACGTTTAAATCTTTTCATGATTTTATCTTTGCGTACAAGAAGACCATGTAAGTGAATTTCCCTGCTTCCAGCTTTTTCACCCAACAGTTCACTGCAGCAACGAGCAGAGAAGAGCAAATTGTGACGCAGGTCTCAGGAGTGCATTTCCTTAGTTGGGCCCTTCTCGGTTTGGAGGGGAAATCGTGTCACAGTGGGTTGCAGGGCTTAAAAAGATGCTTAAAATATTAGACACAGCTCCAAAAGTCAGTATGTACATTTACACAGCAGAGCTAAGATTAAATAACACTTTTCCCTCATGATTTCTCTGATTTTTAGACAAAACATGTTCCAGTGTTCATGTAAAACTAGTAAAATGTGTCCTTTTTTGTGCCAAGAACTGACAAAAATTACGTCTAGAGGTTCACAGTAGGTCCCAAATCCTGGCTTACAAAGACTTCAAAGTCTCAGTGCTGTTCTAGCAAGAAAAGCTGATGTCCCAGACATATAGCAATGTCCTAAAATTGTCTTTACAAAAGGGAAAATAATTCCCTTCCCTGAAAAACATCAGGTATCATTTCCTCTGAGAGGGTCTATGAAACTAGCAGGACACTAATCCACAAATGACACTACCATCCACAGAGATACTGAATTAATTACAGCTAATTAATACTGGCGTGGCCTTCCTCACAGCGTGGCGTGTGAGGGTGGACGAGTGTGAAGGAGCTGAGTGTTGTGACATCTGAGAAGGGGGGGCTCCTTCCTCCCGCCTGTCTGAAACCAGCTCCACACCTCCGCGCTGCCTTTTGACTCCAGCAGTCAGGTGTATGTATGAGTGCACGTCTGGGAGGGAATCAGAGCCAATTAATGGTGCATAATAAACTCCCAGACATCTGTCAGACGGAGGCTCAGACGCGGCTCCTTCTGCATAAACCACGGCACGTCTCCCTTTACATACCGCGTACATAACGCCACACATGGTGGCGAAGAAATGGGCCAAACCCACAATTAGCAAACCCAATATTAAGCTTTTAATGGTCCTAACGACACATCATTGGTCAGAAATTTGATTGATTTCATTGGTCAGGTGGATGCATTTTTAAAACAATCAAATTCTTTCATCCCAAAACTAAATATGTCCATTAACATCTCCTATTATCATATCTGCAAAAAGGAAATGGTGACAAAATGCATGAAGGCTGGTACAAAGTTTTGGCTAGCATGAACGCTGGAACAACGTTCCACTCTACAAGAACAAGTTTGAGGTAGCATGGGACACTGGAGCAAGTTTAGGCCAGCATTAAGGCTGAAACAAGGCTTAGGCCAGCTTGAACACTGAAATTTTAAAACCTACTGCGGCTCTTAGGATGTGTTTGGTGCCAAAAGGATGTGCTCTGGTAGAAAAAGGGGGGATTTTACTAGTTTCACAGTTAGATGGTAACACTTTATATGAAGGCTTCCTACACAGGGACTACATAACACATGCATAAGCACTGAACAAAATATTTATAAAGCGATTTTTAAGTATTTATGTCCTGCTTATGTTAATAAGCGCAAGAGGACATAAGATATTCTATGAAGTAAATGAGATTGCATTGACATGAGGGACCTTCCCATGTTCCATTGTTCCATTTATAACACCAAAGTAAAAGTGAAGTAAAAAAAAAAACACATTGTCAATACAATGTCCTTCACTTCAGCTTATGGATGTTATTAATATGTTATTCAGTGCTTATGCATGGGTTATGAGGTCCTTATGTAGATGGCCTTCAAATAAAGTGTTACCGATATTCTCACCTGAAGCTTCTCTTTCCCTCTCCTCACTCATCTATCTCAGAAAGCCCCTAGTGGCCACTGGCATAACAGCAACCCCAGCCCAGGTGGAACGGGGTGCTTAGCACAGCTTCTGAAACCCAAAATGGCAAATAAAGCCTGAATACTCCCACATACTGCATACATAATGTAGCAGCAGAGAGCAGAACAAACAAAAGGCTTTGCTCCGAGCTTCAATGATAACAACCGAAAACAAACAGGTTTACAGATTTTTGGACTGAAGAAGCAACTTTAAATCATAGCTGCATCTCAGAGCGAGTCTTGAACCCTTATTCTAGAGTTAGCACTGTTTTTTTTGATTTATATTACATGATTACATGAATAAGTCACATTTATAAATACAAAATACATTTAAATTTGATTTACATTCTTTATGGACAGATCGGAGTCTGTGCGCTTCGGACTTTTTCCATTTCGAATATCAAAAAAATGCCAAAACCGCTTAATTCAGTGAGCTACTAGTGAGAAATTATTCATATTGAATTATTTCATGCTTTTGTTATTCATAACTGCAAGTTATTTTCTATGCTCTCACTCTTTTTTTTCCTCCCAGAAAGAAAAGAAGAGCAGTGGCCTCCTGAAGCTTCTTTCGGGTGCGGCAGCGAAGAAGAAGTCTCGCTCTCCGCCGTCCGTTTCCCCAACGCATGAGCCCCGTTCCCCGGCAACCGACCCCTCCTCCTCCTCGTCCGTGCAGGGCGCCATGGCGTCCGAGCTGCAGCCGGCGGGTCACGGCCGGGCGGGGTCCTGCCCCATCGAGAGCGAGATGCAGGGAGCCATGGGCATGGAGCCACTCCACAGGAAGTCCGGCTCGCTGGACCTGAACTTCGTCTCTCCGCCAGTCAGACAGCCCTGCTCGTCCTCCCTGCTGGCCATCCGACCCGAACCCAAACCCCTGTCCCGCGAGAGGTATGGCATACACTGCAAATATATCAGATACCTAACCTGAAATCAAAACCGACCTTTTTCCCCTGGTTAGTTGATGTTCGTGGTCAGATTAAGCCAGATTTATCGCATCATTTAAAAGACATGTCAGTCAAATGGGCCAAACCTGTTAAAGCAGATGGTTCTTGGCCCCATTGAGTGATAAAACCCACCAGATTCTCACTCCAGTCCACAGATGACAGTCCAGCTTGCAGATTAGGCTGCTATAGGCCACATCTCATTCTGTTTGTTGGTCACGTCATTTCACACTTTTACACTGTCCACTTTATCAGAAACCCCTCTCTTGTAGCTCATCTATTGATACACAGTTCGTGTGAGCCATCCTGTAGCCCTTCATCAGTGGTCATTTTCTGACCACAGAGCTGCTCAGGAGACATTCAGGGCATTATGTTTTATATTTTTCCCCCCATTTGATTATAAAATAATGTAGATATGAGAACCATCGTACGCAGAACAGAGCACAAAGGCTTGTACGACAAGCAACACGCTGACTCTAAAAGATTTTATTAAAGAAAATATATGGTGGCACAGTGGCGCAGTGGGTAGCGCTGTCGCCTCACAGCAAGAATGGCCTGGGAATCGAACCTCAGGCGACCGGGGTCCTTTCTGTGTGGAGTTTGCCTGTTCTCCCCGGGTCTGTGTGGGTTTCCTCCCACAGTCCAAAGACATGCAGTCAGGCCAATTGGAGATACTAAATTGACCCCAGGTGTAAGTGACTGTGTATGTCTGTCTGTCTGCCCTGCGATGGACTGGCGACCTGTCCGGGGTGTGTCCTGCCTTCCGCCCGATGACGGCTGGGATAGGCTCCAGCAGCCCCCCGCGAACCAGAAGGAGAAGTGGCTTGGAAGATGTGGAAGATGTATGGTGGACCAGAGCTGAAAGGCTGGGGAACCACAGTGTATATGTTATATAGCCATTTTTTAGTAGATTTAGGTGCGTCAGAGTCTGTTCATGCACATTATTAGCTTCCCTCTCTAAATGAACACTCACCTCTTTATACTGGGGTGAACACAGTGTGTGCATTGTTTCACTGCAGCACTGAGAAGAAAAACAATGAACGACTCAAGGAATCCATTCCTTCTTCTTCTTCTACTCTCCTCCTCCTGCATCTTTAGAGTGTTTAGATTAAAAAAAAACATCAGGCCTTGGTTTTTGGTGTTAACAGGACTTTAATCTGTCCAATGGAACAACTTTTAGCAGTTGTCCACTCTGTGTGGCATGACGAGTATTCCTGAGTAAAACATAGTCGCTGGATTGAAGAAAAAAGTTCTCATGTTTAAAAAATTATTCAGCAACTTTCTTCGCCTCCTGATGCTACACTCGCATTAAAGTAGCTAGTAAAAGAGAAATGATTGCATGCTTTCAGATCCATACCAGTTTGTTTCGCAAGGGTATGTCTGTGTTGTAGTACTATTTCAAGAATCCCACATCTCCCATCAGGTGGGAAAGCCGAACAGACACCTGCTAAGACTGAGACATTTTTATCTTGCACTAAATATCATTGCATTTTGCACTAATATGTTTGTATATACTCTCTTTTTGCGTTTATCTTTACGTCTTTGAACACCGATCAGGCATAACATTATGAGCACCTCCTTGTTTCTACGCTCATTGTCCATTTTATCAGCTCCACTTACTATATAGGTGCACTTTGTAGTTCTACAGTTACAGACTGTAGTCCATCTGTTTCTCTGATACTTTGTTAGCCCCCTTTTACCCTGTTCTTCAGTGGTCAGGACCCCCATGGACCCTCACAGAGCAGGTACTATTTGGGTGGTGGATCATTCTCAGCACTGCAGCAACACTGACATGGGAGTGGTGTGTTAGTGTGTGTTGCGCTTGTCTGAGTGGATCAGACACAACAGTGCTGCTGGAGTTTTCAAACACCTCAGTGTCACTGCTGGACTGAGAATAGTCCACCAACCAAAAATATCCAGCCAACAGCGTCCTGTGGGCAGCGTCCTGTGACCACTGATGAAGGACTAGAGGATGACCAACACAAACTGTGCAGCAGCAGATGAGCTATCGTCTCTGACTTTACATCTACAAGGTGGACTGACAAGGTTGGAGTGTCTAATAGAGTGGACAGTGAGTGGACCTATATAGTAAGTGGAGCTGATAAAATGGACAATGAGCATAGAAACCAGGAGGTGCTCATAATGTTATGCCTGATCAGTGTAATTATCTTTATTTTCTTTTTTATTTATGTCATTGCTGTCAGTTCTAAAGCTGCTAAATGGTTTTTATATGATAAAGACCTACCTACCCACCCCATATATCCCTCAAAACAATGGTCCGAGATTTCTTATAGCAGTTGAACGGCCCCTTCCTGTCAAAGTTAGTGGTTCTTGGCCATGTTAGGAGATAAACGGCACCAGACTCTCTGACAATAAGCAGCCGGCTTGTGAGACTAGTTTGCCAGCAACCAACAGCTTGGACACGTCCTCATTCTCACCACAACATTGCTTGCCAAAATGCTAAGTGACTAAATTGGTAGCTGCACCAAACTGAAGGCTTTTTTCTCCATCATTTTTCATTTCGTCTTGGTCTCACATTGAGATGTAGTGTGATTGCTACCGTAAGAATAACAAAATAGCTCAGAACATATATTTTCAAGAATACATTCGCGAGAAAGAAATAATTTTTGTAAGTAAAAAAGTAAATTTTAGTTTCTTAGGACATTTTAGTGAAGGTGTCTGGAGTGGGATTGTTCCCCAGGCAGGAAAACAGGGCAGCGGCGGCGAATCGGGGAAGAGAGGAGGCACCTGCTCGTCTGCTAATTCATATTCATAATTCATAACACATCTTGTTCTCTTGCCTGTTAAGCACCCTGAAGCAGACACTCTCCGCCAAGCCTGCTAATAACAGTGCGAGAGGAGAAATTGATTTTATGCAGAGACTTCAGCACAGAGCCTTTTTATTGTAATTTGGTCTCCTATATTAGGCCATCAACACAGCACTGAGGAATCTGTTAAAAGTGAAGAATTAATACTTCCCATTTCCTCGATTCAGAAACGTCTACCTGCCCCACTTTCGTGTGCTTTTTACAGGCGCTAACTGTCTGGAATAATTGCATTTAGCATGCCATGGTTTACATTTGTCATCTCAGCGCTGAGCTCTGCGTGTCTCAAAATAAATTTAATGGTCACGCTGAGAGTTTGAATCATGAGAGGCCGCCACGTTTAGCATTTCCAGGGTTTTTGCACCATGCGGTGAAAATCGTGTGAACGCGACTGAATTGATTTCCGCTCGTTTTTCCAGAACATTCTCATCAGTATCTGCAGTCCAAGCGCACTGAAGCGCAGCTGTCTGAGATCTGGTCCTGATAAAAGGACAGCGCTCACTCTTAGCCGCCGCGCTTCATTTCCCCCAATTCAGATTTTACACACGGTGTCACACTGTGTACACTCACTGGCCGCTTTAGAAGAAACCTTGGCCTCGTAGCACCACCTTGCTGGTAGTCAAAATTTTTGAATAACCAAGAAAGTCTTAAAAAAGAACAGTAAATTAGTAGATTCTTGTATGCAAATTAGCTTCTCTCTGACTGTATTCTTACCCCACATTCACATTGGCAGCAGCGTGTTGCTACAAAGTGGCTGGAGATCATTCATTTCCAAAGAAAGCTGGCGGCACAAATGTTAGTGAGGCAAACTGGCCGGTTAATGAGGAGTCTGGCCACTTCCTATTTCCCCCGTTATATATCAAAAACAGGACAAATGCAAGTCAGCAGGGGGCGCCCGCGAGCGAGTCCTTAATGAATGGTGGTGAAAGGAGCTAAATGACTAAAAACTGAAAGTTAAAATAGTTTCTAATCACTCGCCCAGAACTTTCCTTTAATTTTAGACAGTAGAAGGATGGATTTCACTAAAAAAGCAAAGAAGTCTCACCTGTATGTTTCCTTTTTCTAGCAAACAGGTTTTGGACAGCAGGACGCTAACATTACTGATACTGAGTGCTGATTGGTTGGCGAGTAGAGCAGCTCATTGGCTGCTCGCGCTCACTGACGTCATGAACGTACATGAGGCGCCGATTTAAAATCCTATAACTCGAGTTTAAAAGCTCTTAAAAATATAACAGCGGTGTTAAAACGTTTTATGTTGTTCTGTGTTCAGGGAATTAATTTATTCTTTTATCTTACAAATGTTTCATCATTCATAAACTATGATTTTGCTCAAATGCTCCATCTTAACCCATTCATTTTGGACTCGCTCGGGAGCGCCCTCTAGCGTTTGAGAAACCTGGAAGACATTACGGAGTGGAAATTCTCCTCTCTACAAATTCTCTGACAAAGTTGAACTTTTTGCAAATTAGGAGTGAAGCAATGTGGCGACTGCTAATGGGAATTGAGGGTTGTATGTTCTTTATCTCCACCGCTGTGAAACGATGTGCCCCTTTTTGGTTCCTAGATAATTGTTCCTGCTAGAGATGGAGGAACGGCAGAGGTGCTTTTACTGCAAAGACCTGTTTTCAAAAAGCACTGTTTTCTTCTCATACTGACTGCACAGACAGTGATGCACTACGCAGAGATTCCATTTATAGACAATCAAGTTCTCTCCAAAATGTTTCATTTTTAGTGGGAACACATCTGATTTGTGGTAAGAACTGAGCGGGAAGGTATCTGATTTGTGGTCAAATTGATTTTGTAGCCACTGGCCAGTGAAGTACAGTGAACTGCTATGGCATTTACTTAGCATCAGTGAAACCATGGCAACCAACGGTCAGTTCGAGTTCAGAAACGCCCACAGGCGATGAGCGACCGGTGATTTGGGAGACAAGAGGCAAAAAGATTCTTTGCGGTTCGTGCTAACCCAACACTAGAAGACTCTGAAAAGACTTCTGACAGACTGACACTCACATCTACAGACAATGTCACAGCTTTTAGTCACAGACTGTGATTTTGCAGGGTGACTATTTGCAAGACTGCAACTTTTTGGGATTATTTCCCATCATGCACCTGGTGGAAATTTACCAGAAGAGAAACTCTTTTTCTTCTCCACTCTGTAGTGGTACAGATGGGTAGACACGCTGGCTGGACATGTAAAGATCTGGGGTTCAGCCCAGTTCACTGTATATTCTGGCAGATCGTCACCCAGTATTTTTAATTAACCTATAAAATGTGCAGCTACATTTTCATGATATATAATAATATACACATCAACAAAACGACAGCGATTCAGCATTGTTGATTGGGTGTTATGAACTAAACCAAAAAAAACAAACTAAGTAAGAAATGACTGTAACAGAAAAAAAAAATGGAAAAACATGCTTCTTCAATAATGCCATTCTTAAAGTCCTCCGCACATTTCCTCACATCACTGTTACGTTTATAATACAAGATAATATTAAAACAGCAACATTTTTATTTTCACGTCATGATCACCTCTTTACCTTAACTTACATTGAAAGGTAAGAGTGTTTTTGCCCTCTCCTGTAAAGTTCCTATTCTGGACATGCTTGTTTTATTTTAGAGAGCGTTGATATATATATATATATATATATATATATATATATATATATATATATATATATATATATATACATATATATATGGCACATCACTGTTTGCATAAGCCAAGACTTAAACCTTATAATAATATTAAACACAACTGATTTTATCGGAACACCAAGATCACAAAAAGACTGACTTAAGACGGCAATCCTGAGCACCTCACACTAAACAATCAAGATGACGCAAGCGCAACGCAACTCTAGCAAGACTCTCATGATTTTATTCCAACATTAGACATTTGTCTGTGACAATGAAATCGCTTGAAAAGTCGTTTGGCGTAAGGCCGGCATTGGATGCAAATTTTTGTGCACTCCGCCTCCTGAACGCATAAAATTCACAGATGCACTTTCAAACGCAGTATGTATAGCTGGACACGCGGCTCAGTGCCTTGTGGAGCTCAGCAGTAAACAGAGGGTCATACAATGCTACAGTGTTTCCACTACCAGACACAGCAACTGCTGTACTATTGGTTGCACTGAGGCCGAAGGAAGATTTTTGAGGGAACCCGGTGTTAAATGGTGCAGGCGGAAGTTTGATAGTGCTACTCTTCACACTTGGATGTGACGACGCAATGACGGAGGAAATTCTACTAATAATTATATATAATTAATTTTTTGAGTAACTGCCTCAAAGCTAATCATGATACATTTGCCTCAAACTGTGTAGAGGAGTTAAGAATCTCTAATAGACTTTGTGATTTCTGACACTATGTTATCTAAAAACATGGACGTCTAGATGCCTTTTAATGCTACACGCTTTTGTTTACTCCTGTGAGCTCCAGTGCCAAAACTAAAGAAGTAAACTTCAGACACCAAACATGTCTTGGCTGACCAACCACATTTAGGCTAAGATCTAAACTGTAAATTTGATTTTTTCATCAAACTGTTCGTTAAACAGAGCAAGAGGTTCCGTTACTGTTCGTATAGCGACTAAGCTCTGCTTCTCAAGGCCTACAATCCATGAGACAGTGACCTGCGACCTGTACTGTGATTTAAACTCCCAGAAGTCAGCTGCTTTTGTCTGACTGTGATATAATGGGCTGCAGAGGGGACTATCTTTCTGCAGACTTCATGCCGACATGTTTGCTTTGTCATCCATTTCCACAGCCACTTCAAAGTGTCAGAGAAGCAGCAGCAGCAGGTTCTAGCTTCTTAAAGCTCATACATTACCTGCCTGGCAGCTGTGTCCCCCACCACCACCACCACCACCCCACCATCCTTCATTCCCCCCGGCTCCTCCTGATGCCGCTGAAAAACGATCAATTGATTTTCCCTTTTCTCTCTGCTCAAATCGGCTTGTCGCCGGCAGCTGCGGAGGACGGTAATAACACGGCGGCGTTTTATCCCCGAGAGAGGCTCCAGACGTGATCCTCCTTATAATCGCTGGGTCCGAATCCATGTCTCCCCGGGGAAAATCGATTGAGGAAACACAGAGAAACACACAAACTGCTGTGATCGAACTAATGCCATTTGCGGCCCGTGAAAATGGGAGGCACTTCTTCAAACCAGCGTCGCATCGTATCGGCTGGTTCCACGTCACGGTTGTCCGCCATTGTGTCCGTGTATGTATGTAATCATTTAAATTACCTCAGCTGCACCTGCATGGTTGGTATAAAGGGAATCAACAGTGTGATGTGGAAGTGTGGGGAATAGTTTGAATTGTGCAGTAACTACGCTCACAATTAGAATTACACAATTACATCTACCTTACAGCTCTGCTGTGTAGTAGTGCTGCTGAATTGTATTTTTTATCACTACTGCGATATGAGCTCCCACCATAAATACATGGTTAAGGGCTTCAATGACAGAGCGGCTCAAATTCTCTCGTCCAATGCCAAAGTGACGTCATTAGATTGGTGGGAAAGGTGCATTAGAAGCCCAAAAAGTGCTTTTCTGTGCTGGATTCCTCTCTCACATGCAGAACGAGTGACTTAACCACTCAGCTACACAGCCAAAAGCAAAACATGCCCCGGCTTACCACTTGCTGTTGTATGGTTGCTTATGTTCTCATGGCTACGCCACTCCGTCCTGATCAGGCAGAGTTGTTTTCCTAGCTTTTCACTCAGTTTGATTCATGATTAGGCTTTATTTTGAGTCTGACTTTAGTTAATGTTTAGTCACAGATATGTAGAACCATTGAGGTATTTTAAAAACTTGCAGTCATCCTTTCAAAAGAACTGAGTGCAGAACATTTTAACGCCACCTCAAAGCGAAATTCAGTTATAAACAATTTTTGCTTGCTTATTTTTGCATGCAGGCTTGCCTTGGGGGCAAGAGATGACCACTAATCAGTGAAACTCACACAAAACAAACACAAACTCCTATTGAGAAGGCCCTACTAAAGGTCTCTACATACTTTGTTAGCCCCCTTTTACCCTGTTCTTCAGTGGTCAGGACCCCCATGGACCCTCACAGAGCAGGTACTATTTGGGTGGTGGATCATTCTCAGCACTGCAGTAACACTGACGTGGTGGTGGTGTGTTAGTGTGTGTTGCGCTGGTCTGAGTGGATCAGGCACAGCAGTGCTGCTTGAGTTTTTAAACACCTCAGTGTCACTGCTGGACTGAGAATAGTCCACCAACCAAAAATATCCAGCCAACAGCGTCCTGTGACCACTGATGAAGGACTAGAGGATGACCAACACAAACTGTGCAGCAGCAGATGAGCTATCGTCTCTGACTTTACATCTACAAGGTGGACCGACAAGGTAGGAGTGTCTAATAGAGTGGACAGTGAGTGGACACAGTGTTTAAAAACTCCAGCAGCACTGCTGTGTCTGATCCACGCAGACCAGCGCAACACACACTAACACACCACCACCACGTCAGTGTTACTGCAGTGCTGAGAATGATCCACCACCCAAATAGTACCTGCTCTGTGAGGGTCCATGGGGGTCCGGACCACTGAAGAACAGGGTAAAAGGGGGCTAACAAAGTATCAGAGAAACAGATGGACTACAGTCTGTAACTGTAGAACTACAAAGTGCACCTATATAGTAAGTGGAGCTGATAAAATGGACAATGAGCGTAGAAACAAGGAGGTGGTCACAATGCTATGCCTGATCATTTTTTTTTAACCTATACTAGCACATCAACACATACTGAGACATATTTACAGCCAAGATGGTAAAATGGACATAAAATGTTGTGGCTCCCAAGGTGGTTTGATTTTTGTTAAAAGGACAAAGTGGCTCTTCTTAACATTCGGGTTGCGACCCCTGACCTATAAGGTAGGTGTATAATAAGGTCAGTGAGTGGAGGTACAAGGTAGTTAAAGCTATTAAACTGGAAACTCAGTGTATACTGTATCAGACCTTTAGTAGGGCCTTCTCAGTAGGAGTTTGTGTTTGTTTTGTGTGAGTTTCACTGATTAGTGGTCATCTCTTGCCCCCAAGGCAAGCCTGCATGCAAAAATAAGCAAGCAAAAATTGAGCCAAGCATCAAAGAGAATCTGGGGGGATCTGTCTCCCTTATGCATGCTGTGCGCTTTACCTTGGGTTCCAAGTAGAGGGATTTTCAAGTCTGCTTTCTTGATGCAGGTCATAAATCTTCCTTATCAAAGACAGCATGGTTCCTCCATGCAGTGTATGCAGTTCTGAGCCAGATTTAAAGTGATAGTTTGGCAAATAATCAAGTTTACACAACATTTTCCCAAGTGTGTGATGTTTCTATGACTGTGTTTCTATGACTAGTTAGCTATAATAGCCTTGCCCTGCGATGGACTGGCGTCCTGTCCAGGATGTTTCCTGCCTTTCGCCCAGTGACCGCTGGGATAGGCTCTAGCACCCTCCCGCGACCCAGAAGGATAAGTGGCTTAGATAGTGTGTGTGTGTGTATATATGTATGTATATTAGCCTTGTAGCTCCAGTGCTAAACTACAGAAGCAAACTTCAGACACCAGTGGGCCCCCCCCCCGTCTCCCCCCATTACCTAGCGTGAAATGGCCAGCACAGACGTCTGTTAACTGACTGAACAGAACTGCCGGTTAGCACTTTCCATCAACCTCGTTCAGCTGTCCAATGACGTGTAGTTAGCAGGCAGTGTGAAAAGATGTGGTGGCGCTTCACAGGTCTGGGAGGAAGCCTCTGCTGGCCTTCACCCTCCTAGCGCTGCTGGTGTCATGTGATTGGGGGAGTCCTAACTAGTGGGTAGAACTGGATACGTATAAACTGGGGAGAAAATTGGGGGAAAAAAAAAATCAGACACCAATCATGTGTTGGCTGATCTGGAACATTTTGGGTAATGGCTCACCATTCACTTTTTCAGTGTGGTTCGATGTGTGATTTTAGCTTATTTGCTCTCATTTGGCCTCTTCCTCCTGCTAACTTGTTGGCTTATGCTGTTCTGGGTCGCAGGTACCGTGTGGTGGTGCCTTATCCGCCGCAGAGTGAGGCCGAAATCGAGCTGAAAGAGGGCGACATCGTCTTCGTGCACAAGAAGCGGGAGGACGGCTGGTATAAAGGCACTCTGCAGCGCACTGGCCGCACAGGGCTGTTCCCCGGCAGCTTCGTCGAGAGTTTCTGAGGTACAGACGAGAATCCCATCACCAACAAGCAGCTATGTGCAACCTCTGGAGATATCTCGGAACCTTCTGAGGAAATAACTGAGCAGCAGCTGAGCCAAAAACGCTCAGCACTCAAGGAACATTTGTGAAAAAGGTTTACAGAGAATCACCCATTGCAGAGAAGCGGCCGTCATTTCATCCTTTGTCCACTAGAGGCAGGGTTACCTCAAGTTAAACCCCACGGCACAATTCCTTAACGAGCACAACGAGAAATGGGCAAAATTGCTGACCGAATGAGATAAACTGCCGCCCCCTCCCACCCCTTTTATACAAACAAAGCCATTATTGGTCCAGCTCTGACACGTCAACGCACACTCACGACTCTGACCGACGCCTTTTATCCCAGGACCCCTTCTGCGCCTCTTTGTGGGCTCAGTCTCAGATGTCGTGCTAATGTGAAGTGAAACAGTGTCTCTTCATCTCTATCGTGATGTGAAGCGGCCATGCGTTCCAGTGTTTAAACTGTGTTGCCATTTGCTCTAAAGCCATGATGGACGCTTCCTCTTAGTTCTAGTGAGTTTGCACCATCTCAAAACTTTTTATTAATGAGTGTTTTATCAGTTATTAAAAAACCCTAAAAGTTAACATTCTGTGCAAAAGTCAGAGACCACACTGTAAAAGAGTGTTTAGGATTACTTGGATCGTGAGAAGCAGAAAGTGCTAAATTAACTTCTAAGACTGAACTTTGAAGGTGTGGGAAAAGGCCCAATCCTATTTCACCCCTCGTCCCTACCACTTAGGCCTACCCCTCTGTTTTGTGTGTTCATGTCTAGGGGCAGGGTGTCCTGATTCTTGTTGAGATAGAGGGGTAGGGCGAAGTGTTAGGGCTACAAGACCCTCCAAACAGAGTGATAGGAGAAAAACAGAAAAACCGGCAAGATGGAGAACAAAAGACCAAAGAAACCCACAAATGTGAGAATTTTCTCTATTAAAAAATTAAATTAATCACTGTATTATCTTAGTTTAATGTTGTTTCAGTGTATTATGGTCCTTTTCTTCATAACAAGCATAAAAATCATATGTAGTTTGCTGATGTCTCGATAGCTGGTTTGCTGAACCTCCCATTCCACCTTAAATAGTGCAGCAGTTACATAGTTACATTCTGGCACTTCAGGCATCAGAACTACTGCACTATTTAAGGTGGAACGGGAAAATAAGAACATGAAGCTGGTGAATATCTGACTTCAGCTTCATATCACTGAAGAATTAGGGGTGGGTGATAATAAATATTTGCCCCCCTCTTTGAAGATCATATGATGCCCTAAATGTAACTAAAGCCCAGCAGTGAGGAGCTGAACTTTACCCTCCTCTGCTGTCACTGCAGACTGGCAGGGTCACTTACTTACTACCGCTAGTAGCTGTTAATGAAGTAATGCTCTTTTTATTTGAGGGTCCCATTTCAGAGGGAAGATTTCAACCACTACCCCTTGTAACTCAGTTCCAAGGGGCAAGATGACATTAGGAAACAAGGGGTAGGGGTAAAAATAAGAAACGGGACTGGGCCCAATGCTAAAAATGGGATATTATATTTAGTTGTTGAGACTTCTGTGTAATTTTCTATTAATATACATTTTTTGCTTTTTTCTTTGCGAAAAACTAATAACTTGTGATTAATTGCCAAATTGACTGGAAGTTAAATAAATGAAAGGGTGGTCTCTGACTTCTGCACAGTACTCTAAACCCTTTTCTGTGAGCAGATCTGAATGGCGGCACTCCGCGGATGTTCATCGCAATTTCAGAGATTTTTTAATTTGGTATCAAGTTTTGAATTGAAGATTGTAAACCCCCAAAACTAGGGAGAACATGCAGCGAATACAGATAAAGCGCTACAGTAGTACACAGAGCAACCTGGTTGCATCAAGAAGCACAAATCAGTTGTACCACTGGGGGGGAATGCTTTCGTCTCAGAGGAACCCAACTACATCCCCCAGGTTACACACCAACATCTCAATTAGAGAGGGAGTCTGAAACATATTGCTCTGTATCGCAGCTGTGCTTTTGAGGTCCATGGGGTAAAGAGAATGTAGTGTTTTTGTAGAACTTCGCTGTGTTACATGAATGCATCATGTTCTGAATGTGTCTTTAATATGGACGTCTTTTCCCTGTTTGCTCTTCATGCTTGTTCTAAAAGCATGGCTTAGTGACTCTCGTGAAAAGACTGAACAGTGACCCCCCCCACCCTCCATTCACACAATATCTCTGCAAGCACACACTTCTTCATCCTTCTGTGGACAAGAAGAGAACAGGTTGGCGAGGTAGGGGGAGGACAGAGGAGTTGCTTTGCATGTGAAAGCAGCTGGCATAGTAAGAACATAATCGCTAATCTCGGCAAACGGCCACAAAGCCCAGGCAAAGCCAACGGAGAGGGAGCGTGAAGTTTTGAGCCGCGGTTGGGCGATGGGTTTTGAGAGGGCTGCACATTGTCTAGCAAGCACAAATAGCTGAAGAACTACGGAAGCGCTCTCCCTAAAAAACGCAGCCAGTTAGCATGAATCCAGAGGTGGGAAGGTGTGGGCTGATGCAGCACAAAGAGCCACTCTGCAGCATGAAAGAAGCAGAGAGGATTTTGAATAGATTCTCCTGAGCCACGTTTGGTTTTATGTTGAGGAATGGAGAGTCGGGCAGCAGGGGGTGAGGACTGTGCAGTCTAATCTCCATAATCGTGCCAGGGACTGGCCCAGGATTGGTGTCAAACCACAGTGGATTGTGGATTTAGCACATTGGGCAGTGATTGGGGGATTGACAGGGATTACAGCCCACTGGTAAATCAGAAAGAATCAAGATTAAAAGCCTCGCTTGCTTGGCAGTGGGTCTTTCTCGCTGATGTTCAGGCTGGGGTGTAATTTCATCACCCATGATGGATCTTCTTGTCGTTGGACGGCCTCCCCAGACTCCTCGCAATCATGTCCCATTTCTCAGTGGTAAGGCTGCCTAGATGCCCATCAGCTAGACCACCATGGAGTTAATACATGATACAAACCGTCATTGCCTCAGCCTTTCCATACCACTCAGAAGTTGATAGACTTCTGCCAGTCTTTCTTTTGGTTTAGACAACTCCCTACACCACTGGTTCCCAGCACTCGTCCTGGAGTACCCCTTGCTTGCATACCTTGGTGTTTTCCATGCTCCAATACAACTGATCCAGCTGATCAGCTAATTACCAAGCCCTTTCCAAGTTGAAATGGGAGTGTTAGAGGTGGGCAACATGCCAATATGCCAGGCAGGGGTACCCTGTGACTGCCCTAGACCAGCAGCTCCCAACCCGAGTCCTTGGGTACCCCCAGCCAGTCACGTGAACACCAGGTATTCAGCTCTTCCTTGTTTTGTTCAGGTTTGTTGGGAGCTGAGCGAAAACGTGGACTGTCTGGAGTTCAGTCTTGAAATTAGTCTCAGACGTGATCTCGTGACGAGAACGTCTGGGGACAACCATGAGACGCTTTGGGCTAAAATGTTGGTGTTGAAATAGACTTATTAGGGTGGGAACACTGTGAAATTTCTAAACCAATCCAACACTTCATGAAGGCAAAACACAAAGTAGGGGGCGATCATCAACATATTCTGACAAACACCACCTTTGTTAGCCCGTGGATGTAACGCGAGTTAATATGACTGAAAAATCCCCATAAATGTCCAAAAAAGTATGTACCGTGTGTGCGGTATAATTAAACATCATCTATTTTGAGGGCAAAACAGTTCCATTAGTGATGGCGTTTCTCTAGTTTGCTTGTTGTGCTTGTTTTATCGATTGTACTCTGGACAATAAAAGAGCACGGACTACAGGAATTTAGGAGCTGGGGGCGCCTTTGTTTGTGGCAGATTTCAGAATTCAGCACCAGAACTTTTCACAAGTTGTACCCAGATGTGCATTCTGGTTACATCTGAGCAGACATACAAGATTAACTTTAAATACGTTTACAGATCTTTCTTTTGCCTTTTACACTTCCCTAGACCAGTAATACCCAACCCAGTGGTAACCCTTGGGTAAATCCCAAACTTCCCTAATTTTTGCTCTGGCCTAGATGACAGCACACCTAAACCAAGCAAGCAAGAACTGAATACCTGGTACAGGTATAAGAGCTGGAATACATAAATCAAGTGGACTCTATTGGATACCTACGGATTGGACTGGAAACATTAGGACACACTCAATCCGGGTGCTGGGTTTGGTATATTTCTCCAATTAATTAAAAGCCCTTCCTGAGTTGAAATGGGTTTGTTGGAGCAGGGGGAACACTAAATGTTTTAGAAGGGGTACTTTAGGACCAGGAACTACCTGGGAAACACTTGCCTAGAAAAAGTTTTATTGGTTCACCATGATTCCAAGTGATGGACTCTTCTATCCCACCTCGTGTCAGAGTGCAACTTCTTATCTCCTGTACGTGAACTTAGTGCCGTTGCCAATTTGCTCACTGAAAGCCAAGCACAAATACATCTCCACAATGGAGACAAGGCGCTATAGTAATGACATGGACAGGCGGACCTTGGTGTTCTTCTGTCCAGGGTGTTCCTCACTCGTGACCACTGAAAAGACCTTTCAGAAGAGTTTTTCATTCATAACTGCATTGAGAGGAAAAAGATCTATATAAATATATAAATATAAAAATATATATTGTGAAAACATATTTATAGGCTATTGGTGCTAGAGCTGAGATGTTGAGGAACATCACCTCACAAACTCACTCTGGTGACTTTGACATTGTATTCATTTACACATTGTCTTGTACTGACTACTCGTGATCTGTTTTTTGTTTTTTTTTCATGTCAAGTGCATTTTAGCAATAAATGCCTTTGTTTTAAAACGTATGGTGTGTTTCGTTCTTCTATCTGCTGTTTGCCACTTGTTTTTAAGTTGAACCACTATAAAGAAATGTGTCTAATACAGTTTTGTGCTACTTACTTAAGGTCATATTCAACTGATTGATACAACAGCCATTCCTAATTCCGTCATCAACTCCGAGCAAGTCAACACATTTACTGACTGTGGTGGGATGTTTACCTGAAATAGAGCAAAAATGTGGGATGGGCTACAGCAGGAGTCATCCGTTATGGTCCTGGAGGGGCGGCGTCCAGCACAGTTTGATTTTTCTGCTCATACCCATGTAGTAAACCTGGTAATTAACAAA